AGTTGGGTCTGTCTGTTGAAATATAGTGTTTTTTTTTTTTTTTCAGAGCAAAGAACAAATTAGTTCTGTTTAGAAAACCCTGAAGCAATTCCTGACTAACTTTGTCCCATATTGAATTTAGCTGAAGAGTTGTGCATTTTTATTCTCCATCAATTGTATTTCTTTGGAAATTGCATAAACTTCCCAATACAGTTCAAACATGAAAACAACTTTCACAAACATATGACTAAATAAAATTGAGAATGCAAAACAACTTTGCACAAGTGTAGGTTCGACGCACTTTCGTAACATACTAACAAGTACATGAATCGTCACACAAATTCAGTCTTGTCATACAAATGAAAAAGAGTTATTACGGCACCAAAGGAACACTCAGTTAAATATATAGATATGAAGAAATATAACCTAAGATCACTGTTCAAAACCAGTTCAGTCCAATAACTGGACTCAACAATCTTGAAAAAAGAGTAAGCTGACATGTCTTGGATCCTCACTCAAACAAAAAGCAATCTGACATGTCTTGGATCCTCGCTCAAACAATGCAATTTTCTGAAGCGCTTCGAATGTTGCCGTGAGACTGTTTTCAAGAAAACCACTCGAAGTCGAAGTTGATCCATCTCTCGGGGCTAATATTTCCATTCTCTCAAGTACTTGGGAATTCCTCAAAAGATAACGCACCAGGTCAAGTTCATAGTCTTCAAAACTTGGTTCCTTAATTGTTATAGTTCTAAGAGACGATAGTAGGCATTTAGGCACTTGTTTCGGCTCCGCATTACGAAATTCTAGATTATGATAAAAATCTTCGCATCGGCAAACTTTAGTTACAATAAGGACTTCAAGATTATCGGCAACTTCAAGAAACTCCACAAGCAAATGCCATTCAACACCCAATCGGAGTTCAAGTTTGGTTAAATTATTAAACTTTACTATTGGACCAACAATGCCACCAATAGCCTGCAAAAGAAAAATCAGCTCAAGAACAAGACGGGGTGCATAAAGAGAGAATAAGATGAGAGATAAACGACAACGTACCTTCAGGTATCTACAGCTTGATATCTTTAGGCACCTGATGTTGCGCAAGCGATTAAAACCCTCTAACACATGGGAGCTGTCATTGTTGTCAATGTGGAAGTCATGACAATTAAAACGGATGTACACCTCAACTAAGGAAAACATATCTATTGGAATTGTGATTAAATCCCAATCACAACAATCCATATGGAGACATCTAAGTGCTGGCGTTTTCATACAGAAGGAAATGTCAACTACATTCACCTCGAGCATTTTTATCGTGGATGATGATAGATTCAAGAATTTCATATTAGATTCTTGATCATCGCAATCGAGGATCAACTCCTGGAGCAAAGGACAGCAGGAAAGCAAGTGCGGAAGGGCTTCATCATCCTCATACCCAACATAATGAAGATGAAGTTTCTTGAGGCTAGGCAAATATATGTCCCCAGTTGAAGAGAAGCCTTTGCAGTTACTGAGCCTCATGTCAACTACTGTTTTGCAGTTGAAGAGGGGTCTATGCAACATAACAATATTTGTACGGGCAAAGTCGAGATAAAGATTCTGTATTTTACGCTCAAGGGCAATGGAGATCCATGTCTCCAGTTGATACTCATTGCAGTCTATATGGCGGAGCCGAAGAGTACGCATTGTTTTCGCCTTATGCCATATAATAACCCTGTAAATCAGGTCTACGTCTGAATGTCGTGTTGGTTTTTCATCTTCGTCAGATTCTTCTTCTTCATCATAATAATGAGTTCCTTCGAAATCCCAAACGGGGACGTGGGCCCACAAAAACTTCCATCTTTTCGACAGAACGCATGTTGACACGGAGAGCTTTGTCGGGAGGAAGGATAGAATCTGGCATATGACTTCGTCCGGCAACCTGCTCAGCCTATCGATTGAAAACCTCCGACTATTTGAAAGCTTACGACTCTTTTTACTTGTTATCTCCATGAAAGTTCGATCGGACTTTACACGAACAGGATATTTTTTGTTACGAACACCTGACAATATTCTCAGAGTTTCAAACCAATAACCACAATGTGTAATTTAAGAGGGTTTTATCAATGGTGTTTGCATAGAATAATCCTAAAAAAATGAGAATTAGGGAAAAGCACAGAGGAAATCTTACCAGCAGCGTGAAAAATCTGAAAGGGGGTTTATTAGGGGGTTTATTAGGTGTTCCGGGTCGGGTTACCAACGATCCACGTTTGTTAGTTTCAATGGGCTGCTGGGAAATTAGTATATAAACGAAACGGCCATAAGCCCAATGCTAATGGGCCAATTGAAAAATATTGGTTTGTGAATAATCTACATTGATCCATTTTGGAATCACAAGAAAGAGGAGTAAAAGGTAGAAGAAGTCCATTATCAGTCAACGATAAGATCCAAACCAAGGATTCGGGTGGATATATTAAATTCCAATTCACATTCTGGTTATTGCAAAGTGTAAATATTTTATTGTTAATGATAATGATATTTATGTACATTATTAGCACATAAAAGTTCGTAAATGAAATATGAGAATTATTTAAAATAATATATACGAAGTTTTAGCTTGTTTTCTCAGTAACTTTAATTATAAGTTTCCATTAAATAGCACATTTGCTTAATTTTGGAGCAACAAGCTATGAACAAGGGTGAGTGGATTTTTTACGAGTTCTTGCAAGATTTGTTTGTTAATTTTGAGCAAGTTTTTATAGTATGTTGTCATGCTCTAGATTATCTACAAAGTTATTTGGGTTCATCTTCTCTAATTAAAAAAGATGGTAATTACTTAAAAAAAACTATCAATCCAAAATTTATTTACAACTTGTCTACCTTATATACCAAGCATAAATTTTATCATATTCTACTCCTTATGTGGTGAATAATGAATTGCTAATATATTAAAAATTTATATATGAAATTATTTAAATATAAAATTAAACGTTGTGCAATGTGATTGTGGGTGGATTGTAAAATAAAATGACGAGCTTATCAAACGAGTTGAGCTCAAGAATCCGTTTAGTTAAAACTCGTATAGTTAAGGATGAAAATATTATTTTTTATGTAATCTTGTATAGCTTGACTTATTAATATTGATAGAAGAAAAAAACCGAACTCGAAATCTACTCGACTCATTTACATCCCTGATTACAGATCTTAATTAGAAGACCAAAAAAGGATTATCAATTAAAAGATATTTAGTCACTTCTCAATTTATGGTCTCAAGTCTCAACAAATGCCTTCACAATTACAAAATGAGAAACTTAATAAAGTAGAGTGGGGATTAAAGAAAGAAAGAAAGAAAA